AACATTTATTTATTTTTTTCTTAGTTCTCGGCGGACACAACATCCTCGTCTGCATGTGGTGCTGAGGATCGAACCCGGGCCGCACGCATGCCAGGCGAGCGCGCTACCGCCTGAGCCGCATCCCCAGCCCGACCCTCTTATTCTTAAACCAAAACTTTAATGGGGGGGGATTGGTTAATCATATTGAACAATTAATGTCATAATAAAAAAAAAACTCCACAACATGCAAGTCTTTACACCATTGAAATTTTAGACTCCACAGGAATAAGCTATTTCCTTATTGATAAAATACTTTTTAATTTTTTTTTAGTTGTAGATGGACACAATACCTTTATTTATTTATCTCTATGTGTGCTGAGGATCAAACCTCACACATGCTAAGCACGCACTCTACCACTAAGCTACAACCCAGCCCCTTATTGATAAAATATTTTAGGGGAGTTATCACTGTTTCCCTTCAGTTCACTTTGGGACTAGGTTAATTGCTTTGTCTTTCCTTCCGTCTGTAAATTCTTTAGTAACTTTTTCCTATTCTTGAATTCAAGCCCAGCTGACACACTGTACTCAGTTCCAGCAGTTAATACTATGCCTGGTAACATACTGAAGAAATGATCCTGAGAGCTGACCATTGACCATCAGGTGTTCAGATGTTTTTGGTCCTTCCTATCACCCTGGCTGTGGGGGAAGAGCATAAGGTGGAACGCATTTAAAGTGGCAGTGCCTGCCTATAATCCCAGCAATTTGGGAGGCTGAAGCAGGAGGATTACAAGTCTGAGGCTAGCCTCAGCAACTTAGGGAAAGCCTGTCTCAAAATGAAAAATAAATAAAAAGGGCTGGGATTGTAGTTCAGCAGTGAAGCACCCCTGGGTTCAATCCCAAGACCTAAACAAACAAAGAAACAAACAAACAAACAAAAAGTCATACTACAGAGAACAGCCTATGCGAAAAGCCCAACTTTAGTCTGAAGTAACTAAATAGAAGTGCAATGGATTTTTACACAGGTTTTCTCAAGGATGTCTAAGGAGCCATTTATCCTCTGAAACCTCTTAAGAGTAAAAAAAAGATAGTCTGAAAAGGAACGCTGTTCGTGGGTGACCTGGAGTATTTGTAGCTTGCCTTACCTGTGATTGGAAAAGGGTATTTCAGCCTATAGAGTTAAAGCAATTTAGCCAAAATGGGTCAAAATTTACTAAAACTCAACACAGCCAGATGTATGGCTCCTTTCCATCACTATACTCAGGCATGCACTGTGGAGCAAAGCTGAATAAACTCATCCTGGAGTTTGCTTCTGGTTTAGAAAAATATTCTCTTAATACAACTGATGGCTTTCTGTGGTGTCAGATAGTAATATTTTGGCCCCTTAACCTACAAATGAGTCACCACTGCCTGAGCCACTGCAAAAGTATTTCAAATTAACACAGGTAACAATCTGGTCTGAATTAAGAGTCTCTACCCCTCTCTACCAAATGAACTTCACAGAACCCATTCTTTAAAAATAATACCACCAGGGTTGGGGTTTAGCTCTGTAGTAGAGCCCCCTCCTAGCATATGCTAAGGCCCTGGGTTCAAACACCAGTGCAAACAAAACAACAAACTCTCAAAATTGAACAAACAAAACCAGACAACAAAAAATACCAGTCGTGCGGGGGGGGGGGGGGCTCTGACCCAGGAAACAAATTTGGGGTTGAGCAGATGGAAGAAGATGTGGGAGTATTGATCATCCTTTATTTGGAGGCCCCTATAGCCATTAGCCAAGCTCCAGCTTCAGCTTTGCCCCAGACAGTTCCCTTTTAGCCCTTCCTATCCCATTTCCTTGGGCCCTTTTTATATGCAGGCCAAAGAGGGCACATTGTCAACAGGTTACATAATGGGGGGGGGCACATATTCCCAATTTAATGTTTATGACCTTGAGTCCATATACTGAATCCTGGTGTTTCTGGCCTTGACTAACCATAACAGCTAGTTCCCAGCCCTGGCTATGCACTAAAAACATAACATAACCCACCAGAAGTCTCAAAAACATAACAGCCCACCAGAAGTCTCAGTGAGGGAGCCTAACTAAAGCCATTTTTTGGCCTGCCCCCACAATACCTTTTTTTCAAAATTAAAAACTTTAACCTTGGGCTAGGGTTGTGGCTCAGTGGCAGAATGTTTGCCTGGCACATGGGAGGCACTGGGTTCTAGCCTTGGCACCACATAAAAATAAATAAATAAAATAAAGGTATTGTGTCCAACTACAACTAAGTAATAATAATAATAATAATAATAATAATAAAACCCTTTAACCTTATTAGGCATTAAGAAAATAAAATAGTAGAGACTAGGAGAAAAATACCTTGAGAACATATATCTGACAAAGGAATTATATGTAATACATATAAACGTTCTTATTGTCCAATCAAAAATACCCTCAGGGGCTGGGGCTGTAGCTCAGTGGTGGAGTGCTTGCCTAGCATGTGTGAGGCACTGGGTTCAAACCACAGCACCCCATATAGATAAAATAAAGGTCCACTGACAACTAAAAAAAATTAAAATATCCTTAGGGGCTGGGGTTGTCGCTCAGTGATAGTACACCTGCCTAGCACAAGTAAGGCACTGCTTTCAACTCTCAGCACCACATAAAAAAACTAAATAAACAAAATAAAGGTAAAAAATACCATTGGATGTCAGAAATTCCTCAAGAATATTTGTTCAAAAACTTAAATGTGTGCCATATCTTCAAGGCATGTATTTGAGTGTATGCAATTTGTCTTTAACCTTTTTGCCCTTCTTAGGTCAGTGTAGCTTTATTCTAGATTGGTTTTTTTTTTAAGTTTTTTTTAGTTGTCAATGGACCTTTATTTTATTTATTTATATGTGGTGAATCAAACCCAGTGCCTCACACATGCTAGGCAAGCACTCTATCACTGAGCCACAACCCCAGCTCTAGATTGTTCTTTTGGTTTCAATATTACACAAATTTCCAGTTTGCTAAACCTTGCCCCCTCCCTTCACAATGTATTTTATCAATGTTTTCAGGCTGACACATCAAACCACTCCAGAAAACTAAAATTTAGGGCTTCCACTATCTACATTGCTTTACTGAAGAATAAAAACAGAACAACCAAGCGCTTAGACTTTTACACTACCCCGCTCATTAATCAAACATACTTAACCACTCATATAGTGTGCTGTGTGGGAATTCATTATTCCTTTACTCTGTTGTCTAAACATTTATAAAGTCACTCATTTAGCCAAGAGTCTACACATGATTTAAATAGTTTTAAACAATTTAACAGTGAACTCTCTCATGCCCTAGCTCCTTGGTGTATTAATTTGCGTACTTCCCAGGTCAGACTGAGCCCTAACCTGACTCCACATAGAAGTATTTCCTAAAACAAATCATTATTAGAGCCAGGTGCAATGGCATGTGCCTGTAATCTCAGCAATGGGAGGCAGAGGCAGAAGGATCCCAAGTTCAAAGCCAGCCTCAGCAACTTAGTGAGGCTCTAAGCAACTTAATGAGGCCCTGTCCCAAAATTTTAAAAATGGGGGGGGGGCATAAAAGAAAAGGTTGGAAACGTGGCTCAGTGGTTAAAGCATCCCTGAGTTCAATCCCTGGTATCAAAAATAAATAATAAATAAATACCATTGTTAGAAGTTGAACTTTATTTATATTTTATTCATACATGGAATAAACGGTTTGGTTCTTTATCATTTTTATTTCTTCCATTAATAAGTCATGTTCTTTTTGGTAACGAGAAATTTCCATATGCTAAGGTTTACTTATTTCATTTCTCATTCCCCAACCCCCCCCCATTCAAAACTCATTTCACAAACACGGAAAAGGCAACAAAAATAGCAGCAGCTTGAGAATATCTAGTAGAAAAGTATCTGAAGTCTTGATGCAGGTTTTAGAATGGCTTCTCTGGCAAATTGGGCTTTTCAGATTTATTGGGCTCCGCTTTGCCTTCAGTAACACTCAGGGGTATTGCAAGTTCCTTTCTGAAGGGGAGAAAACATCAAATGTTCAGTATTTGGATTTATGAATGAAGTAAAATATGCAGATGTACGTTTCTTACTTATTTCAAAATGTCTATCCTTCCATGGGCCCTAGCCAATGTTTCCATCGTCCCAGTTCCAGGGTTGCTTTAGGGATGGATTTTTCTTTGTAGAATTTAAGGGGGCGCTAAAAATTTCAAGATTTAATAGTAATTATTTTAATTCAGCATTTAAACATCAAAACTAATGAAATGTTTCTACAATGATCACATTATCTTCACTCTCCTTGCCCTAACATCTAAAACATTATTTTAAAAAAAGTTCTGCTAAAGTTTCCCTAGTTGATTGAATTTATATAGGCATGAAAATATGAACCGTGATTCCCAGTAAGTATCGCCCCAACCTGGCGGGCAGACTCTGGCTTTGAGTCCCCTAGGTAGCTTTCCGCTCCGGCTCCGGAGGGAAGGGAAGGAGACTGGGAGAAAGCCAAAGGTGCCCTGTGATGTTCTCCTATTGCCCTGGAGAACTACGCACCTCCAGAGCAAACCCTAACCCTTACCGTGCGAACACGTCGGGGTATTGAGTGCGTTGGAAAACGCGATCCAGTTCCTGCAGTTGCAATTGGCTGAACTTGTTGCAGAAGTCGCTCTGGTTGGTGTCTCCGGACTGTGAACCCTCAGCGGCCTCGTGGCCTGGCTCCTTCAACTGCTGCAGCCTGGGCTTCTCGTCACCGCCGCCCTTCTGGTTCCAGGGGCCGAGAGCTCCCGCACCAGTATAGCAGACTTCTGTTGTCGCTCCCTGCTCAGATTCGGACCTTATCTTCTGTCCATGGTCGTCTCTACCCTTTACAATCACCGAGATCTTGGCCAGCTTCTTATCTGGAAAAGAGGGAAGTCGGGGGGCGGGACGGGGAGAGATCACGGTGTTCAAGCCCTGGGCCACCACCAGTGAAACGGAGGTAGTGGCAGCGCAACAGCGTCCCATCACTCGCCTCTCCCAGACGGATTTTGGTTTTTTAAGAGTTCTCGCCAAAGCGTAAGTCCCGGCCCAAGCACTGACCCTGAACTTTCTCTGTGAGCTCCCCTATTCCCAGGCTTTGGTAGCTGGCGTCCTCGAGGCTGCACTCCTGCGGAGGGTCCATGATGTCAGTGCCGTCGATTAAGCTGTGTGCCACTACTAAGTCTCCGGTGCCTAGTCTGGGTGATCGTTTGTTTGCACGCTACTGGCTAGATGACTACTATTCTTGTAATCTCCAGTTGCACTGCGATTGGTGGATTGGACCTCCTGGGATGCGCATGGGGCTAGGGCGTGGCCACAAAACTGGGGGGATGGGCGCCTAGGGGGCGTGCCTATATGGTTATTGGGAACTAAAAGTTGCAACTTAGAGTACTTATGACCCGAGTGGGGTGACTGTCTGGAAGAAGGGGCTGTACCAGACTGCCCGTGTCTAGAACAAGAGTTCACCCCAAAGCAAGTGGATTTGGTGTAGGGGGAGGGGCGGAGGAGAGAGACCTCACAGTACCCTCCAGAGACGTTGGAGGAATGTTTGGAACATCTCTCAGCCCAGCCATCGATGCTGGCTCTCTGGCGTATGGCAAGGTATCCTAAGCTCTTCAAGAGCGAGAGAAGCCGTGATAGAGCTGAAAAACCCGCGTCTAGCCCCTAAGCTCCAGCACGCTGAACCGAAGGCTTTGAGCCTTGTGACACTTGAGGTCTGTAAGCACCACTCTCCCACCTAGGACTCTGGTTCTTTTCCGTTTTCTCCCCAAATCCCTAAATCGGCCTAGTAATTAAAGATTAAATGAATAGGTAGTAGGCTACTTGCAAAATTTTTGCAATTATGTACAGAAAGCTTAGCGCCCCAAGCTCTCCAGGGGGTACGGAGGAGTGGAAGCTTCAGATTGGATTTTCAGAGGATTCAGATGCAACCTGCAGGAAACCCAACACGCCCGCGTGCAAGACCTTGCCCAGTGCATCCAAGAATGCTTATGCTGCACTTGGCTCTTCCTTTGGACGCGACTGTGGAGTATGCAGTATCTGCTAATTTATGCTTCGCTGGCTCCCTTCGCTGTAGACCTGGGGTAGTACACGCCTTCAGCTCTACGTCTCTCCCCCTCCCCCTCCTCATCCTTCTCTCCCCCTCCTGGTCTTCCACCCCCTTCTCTTTTCTTTTGCTCCCTTTAGATCTAGAACTGTCTTTCTAAATTCTTGCTCCCTATTGATAAAGGTCCCCCAAAAGGCGGAGCAGATTCCCTTCAAAAAGTGTTTTGTAGTACCATGGGTCATGTTAATATCCCCAATATTGAGAATAGTTCCTAATAATGGGCCCTATGCTTGAAAATGCACATCATTTACCCCATCTTTACTTTCATAACCACGGTTGTCATCAGTACTCATTTTATAAGGTAAATTAACCATTTTTTATGGACACACTATCTTTTTTATTTTCATGTGGTACTGAGGATCGAACCCAGTGCCTCACATGTGCAAGGCAGGTGCCCTATCACTGAGCCACAACCCCAGCCAGCTATTTTTATAAGCCCCTAAAAGTAAGGTGGACCCTACTTACTGGCTTCCTGGGCTTAACAGATGAAAATAAATCTCTTATATTTTGTGTTTCCAGCGAATGATTAGGAAACTAGCTATAGGATGATGATTTCTTTATTCTGAAAATAAAAAAAAAAACTGTGGAGTGATTTCACCCCCACAGTCTCTCCCTAACTTTAACCAACCTCCTCAGGCTGGCTCTTACTGGGTTCGGGAGGGCTCTGTATCTCAGAGCTAGGTACCCTGCAATGATTTTTGGCCTGTGACTTCAAATATTTGAAGTCATAAGAGAGAACTACAACACTTTTAATCGTGGCTTTCATAAGCCTAGGTAGGACATCTATCAAAGTTTGAATCCTATGGTCTCTCACATCTGAGATTTCCATGATTTATTCCAGTGCTTTCTAAACTTCAATCATGTGCCCTTTTGTTGACTGTTGCCTGTCTGGGCACTAGCCAAATAAGTTTTTTTTTTTTTTTTTTTTTTTTAAGAGAGAGAGACAGAGAATTTTTTAATATGTATTTTTTAGTTTTCAGCGGACACAACATCTTTCTTTGTATGTAGTGCTGAGGATCGAACCTGGGCCATACGCATGCCAGGCAAGCGCGCTACGCTTGAGCCACATCCCCAGCCCTAGCCAAGTTAGTTTTAAAGTCTTTAGTTAAATTGATGCAGACTTGAAAACACTACATACCTAATTTAGCCTTATCCAAGTAAAAATTGGCATGAATCACTCAAATTTTTTCATAGACTTCGTGGTCTAAGTAACTGGTTTATATTAATATGTTTAACCCTCTTACCACCCCATAGGCATAGATGTATTATTACCTTCATGTTACAGAGTCACAGAGACATTAGGTAACCTGTTTATGGTCACCAAGTTTGGAAGATGGGATTTGTGTCTGTCCTCTGAATACTAACCCTGACACCAAGGATATGCTCAATTATGTTTCCTGATATGCTATATGCCATTATCATCATATTTTGTAGTTAATTAACTAGAGATAACCAGAGATAGATGTGTCTTTTCAACTCAAAATTCTCTTTACTGATTTAACTAGCAAATTAGTGTCATAAATATCTAATGACACCTTGTATATTAGTAAGTAACCAAGGAATAAATGGTAATATCCAGAAAAAAATGAGTTGAAAACAAGACACAAAAGAAAAGTGGTTGAATTTAGTAAGTTAAATAACCATTCTTCTCAATAACACTGTATTCTTGTCTATTGTTGGAATACTTAAGAAAAATATTTGAAGTCATAAAGTTGAAAATCATAATTCACTATACTGATTTCCTGTTTCTTATTATAATAATTATCTAATATGATAGATTCTTGGTGACACTTATTTAATTAGACAACTAGAGATAATTAGAACATTGATTTGAAGTCTGGAAATTGGAAAGCACAGTCTTGTATACTATATTCGTATTTCTTGTTGGGATGTTGCCTTAGAACTACAGATAAGTAGTGAAACCTTATAAAAGCTAGATAACTAGGGAAAACTGGAAATAACTAAAATGACCAGTGTAAGCCAGGAAGTGAAAAAGCATCCTTCTTAACTTGGACATCATAGTTTTTTTAAGTGTACTGTGTTAATATGTTAGATAAGTCACAGAACCTAGGGAAAAAGTCAACTACAAACAACTAGTGTTATTAGTTAAATCTAGGAAGATGAAAACCATATTCTTAATTCTACCTTCTAATTTCTTGTTGAAATAAGGAGTTAATATTACTGATAACTGAGAATATCCAGGGTACTAGTTAACTAGAAATAAGTAGAGATAAATAGAAAAACACATAGGAACCCAGAATCTGAAAAACACACTTTTTCTTAAGCTTAAATTCTTATTATAGTGGAATAATGAGTGAGTAGTGTGGTCATGAAGTAGCATGTAGGTGATTAGTTAAATAAAGGTGACTAGAAAAGAATGAATATTTGACACCAGGAAGTTAATGAAGGCTTTATTCTCAATTCTAACTTTTATGTGTTATAAAAATAACGAGGGGCTGGGATAATGGCTCAATGGTGGAGCACTTGCCTGGCACATGTGAGGCACTGGGTAGGATCCTCAGCATCACATAAAAATAAATAGAATAATAGTTTTGTGTCCATCTATAACTAAAAAATTTAAAAAATAATGAGTTAATATTATTTAGAAGTAATGGTACCTATTTATTTAATTACAGGGAATGAGGTATACATAGAACAACAATTTGAATCCAGGAAGTTTAAAAAATCATCTTGTTGACACATAAATGTAACTATTGTTGCAATCATCTGTAATTGTCATAGATGAATATTGGTACCCAGGTAACTAGTTTATAGGGGATAGTTAGAATAACCAAGAAATCTGTTTGAGTACAGAAGTTGAAAAATTGTAGTATTATTCCTTACCACCCTAATCTTATGTTAGAATGAAGATTTAGATATATGAATAATTAGTAGTGACATGTATACTAGTTAACTGCAAATAACTAGTTGAAGCAAGAGTGTGAAATCAATCTTCTGAATACAAAATTCTAATTTCTGATTGAAATAATGTATCAGTAGTATAGATAATTAGGAGTAACCAGTTTACTAGATATGTACAGGAACTTCAAATTTAGGAGGCTGGGAAACACACTCTTTCCAATTGTTAATTCTTTGTTTTGGGAATGTAGAGTTAGTAAAGTAGATAACTAGATAAACACGGATAGAGTTAAAGTGAAATAACCATATAAAAGCAGGACAAATAGTTGAAGCCTGAAGGCTACAAAAATTCTTCTCAAATGTTAGTCTGAACATTTTTTGGAATAGGATGTTGTTTGTACTGTAACTAGTGGCACCTACATGTTAGTAACATAGAGATGGCTAGAGATATGTAGAGTAAGTAATTGGGAAGTTTGAAGCTGAAATAAAGTTTGTCCTGGATTCTATATTCTTTTTATGTTTCAGTTGTATTAAGAAGTTAGCACTATAAATAAATAGTGGTACTTAGGTAAATATTTAACTAAAGCGTATTAGAACATCTAGTAGAAACCATGAACTAAAAGCATATCTACTGGGCTGGGGATGTGGCTCAAGCGGTAGCCCGCTCGCCTGGCATGCATGCGGCCCAGGTTCGATCCTCAGCACCACATACCAACAAAGATGTTGTGTCTGCCGCAAACTAAAAAATAAATATTAAAAATTCTCTCTCTCTCTCTCTCTCTCTCTCTCTCTCTCTCTCTCTCCCTCCTCTCTCACTCTCTCTTAAAAAAAAAAAAAAGCATATCTACTATAGTTTGGATATGGTTTACCCCCAGAGATTTATGTGCTGGAATTTTGGCCCCCAATGTAATAGGATTGAGGTGGTGAGGATTTTGAAAGATGTTGATTAGATCTTTAAGAAAGCTGCATACTTTGCCGAGAGCTGCCCCATAGGAGCTGAGCACACGTACCCTTAGCCTTGATGGATGGAGATGTGGAACTGGCTTCTGACTTCCACTCTGTGGGAAAGCAGGTGGACATCACTTTTGCTTGGCAGGGCAGTGAAGCTCTGGGAGTGGGTGTTACCCAGTTGGAGTGGGCTGCCTCCTCATTCTTTTGTAATACTA